CAGAGAGCTGGGAGCAATAGGATTGATTTACTAAAAGCAAATAGACTGTGCACTTTGCAAATTGCAGCTGTACTCTGCAAGAGCATCTGCTCCTGAGCTTAGTAAATGAGCAGAATCTCTGCTGACTTCCATTATCACATGCAAACAGAATTGCTGTTTTTTTTTTTGTTTTTTTTTTCCTTTCACGTGATCAGACATTTTTACAAAGTGAAGCTTTACCTAATTTACTAAACTCTGGAATAATTGCGCTTGATGAGTGCAACTGCACTTTGCAAAGTGCACAGTCTATTTGCCTTTAGTAAATCAACCCCAATAGGAGAGCAGCAGGCAGCACAGGAAGTTATCAAATAAATATAACAAAACCCATAGCAGCTCTGATGTGGATTCCTAGTAGGTGGTGTCCACCCATTCTATGTCCTACCTTATCATTCGCTAGCTATATGGGACAGACAAAGCATGAGGAGAAAACGATGCTTGACCCATGCTCCTCTATCTCCTATACTAAATAATCCACAGTTCACGCCTGGATTATCTCCACATCTAATTCGTTGGTGGGAAAAATAAGGGGTGTTGTGAATAGTAGATTTCTTATCCCAGAATGATTTGCACTCCCTGGATTATTAAAAAACTAAATTGCAACTCCCTTCTTCAGAATTATATTGCTACAATCAAATCATCTACTTTAGGAATTAAATGAAATGGATCAGTTGTTATCTTGGACACTCTTTGAAAGCTCTTGTGAAACTAGAGACCCAGTGAAAGGTTGTATTATAATATGATATGGCTGTTTAATTGATTCTGATTATAAACGTCCTTATATAAACACTGGAAAAGGGACCTCAATATAACCTTAGACCTACTACAGTGGCAGGACATAGCAAACACTTTGTCTAAGATTTCCATCAACACAGCTTTTGGTGAAGTCTGTATATGGTACTGACCAGAATAGTGAAGATGAGTTCACAGGCTTCTTCTAATTGTTTCAGAGGTTGGGGCCAAGTAAGTACCATGGATCCCTATTTGGTGGCAATGCCCTAAGGTGACTAGATTTTGAATCAGAATATTTAATCTAATTAGCTTGGTTATGATGAACATCCCCAGAACTCCAGAGATTGCTCTTTTCCAGAAGTTGCATATTAATATTCCTGAATAGACTAACCGTTTGATCTCATATATGATTCTGGCTGCGAGGATGACAATTGGGCCCTGTTGGAACCAGTCAGTAATAATGTTTCATTATGTTAAACAAAAATTGAACTGAATTATGATTAATGATAAACTTTCATATATCCTCCATGAAAATCAAACTAAGACTGATAAGACGTGGCAACCACGGATACAATATCTGTCGGGGGGCGAGTGAGGCTTGGGAGGTATCATCTTGGCTGCTCTTGATTCTTTCTTTCTATATACTTTTTCTTCTTTCTCCATCTTTTTCTAGATTTTAGGCAAAATTGCTGCATATTATTTCCTATAATGTTGTTTATGTACAGTAAAGATGAGTGCTATACGATACTCTTTAGGATGATTCAACTTCACTCCTTGGTTAGTGAGAGAAATAAATCTGAATAATGACAGCTTATACAAAGTTGTTTCATAATCACTTTTTTTTATGATATAACGCGGCAAAGTTGGTTATACTTTTTTAATGGTATTTGCTGTTGATTATCTATTCCTACTGTCATACAGTACCTGTATGAATACCCTGAATATTGTATGGTGACTGTATTTTTTTGGGGATTATACGTATTTCATAAAACTATAATAAATAGATTGGAATTACACATTAAAGAAAACACTACAGGTAGCGGATTATTCCACATATCAGAGCTGAATCAACCATGCAACAACCTAGGCTGTAGCTTTTGGTCCAGTAGATGTCCAGGGGGCCACCAGCTACAATCTTTATTTTTCTGCAATAAACTAGGGTGCTAGCACAGTTGTTCAGAGCTGTGAACCTGCCTGTCACTTCACAAGGGCAGTTTTAGGCAACTTCAGGCAGTTAGTGTCTGATACAAAGTTTGCTGTGATACAAAACTGACAAGTTAACAGAAAAGTTATTGAGCTGAGCTGATTAAATATGTGTAAAGAAATATGCAAACCTAACGGAATGATGTACCACAATCCTATTTACAGAAAATGAACTTGTTACAATTAAAGTTGAAGTTTAGGTATAAAGTTTATTGCATAGCTACATTTGTCCAGCCTGGACTAATGTAAGTATGCATATCTTATATCTGAGCAATCACTGTGGAAGCTGCAAATCTCTGTAGTAGATGCCTCTAGGGCTCTTCCAGAGCCAGCACCAAGTGGCTACCCATATGCGTAGTAACCACAGGGGGTCACTCTCATCATACCACCACCATTCACAGGCCACTTTGTATCCAAAAATACAAGGCATTCTATGAATGAACAAGCAGCCCCCTATGAGTACTATCCAGAATAGCAGCTGCTCGACACTGTACCTGAAAGACTGCTGCTATCACTGTATTAGTGACCACTACTACAGTGATTTGCAGATTTCACAGGGATCACCCTGGAATGAGATATGTATACTTACATACAAGTTGGACCATCGTAACTATACAATAAAAATCAAACATAAACTTCAGCTTCAAATTACATTCTTCTCAGCACATTTGACTAAATACCTACTTTAAATAGGAAGCATTAGATACTGTGATCTCAAGTATCATTCTGGAGTCTTTAACACTAAACAGAGGAAGTAAAACCACCTAAAGAATGACATAGAAAACCACTATGAAAGACTTCTACAAGGCACTACTCATCATTCAAGAATTCTCATGGCTACCTCAAGGCTCCGTTACTTAATCCTGGTTTAGTCACTTAGTTGGAGTGGCTGTCAATGTAAAGTCTGGGGAGTGCCCACAGTGAAAGTGAGGTTTGCAAAGCCAGTACAGTGATATTAAAGGGTGCACAATTACTTTATAGTCCTAAACAGCACCAGTAAGACCAACATGACTGACCATGGCCCTTTGGAATGCTGGATGTCCCTTGGAATGCTGGCCGCTATTATCTGTAGTAGTTGGCTGAGACTAAAAGAAATGCCTGTGCAGATTTTATTGAGAGTGTGTAGAAGGAGTTCTCTGGATCATCCTGCTGGACAGAGGGTGCAGCCTACAGGCCTCTAAAATATGCTGGATACGTAGAAAAAGGCTCTGGTCACTTGAATGATATCTGGATATTTATTTTACTGTACATATCAAATGGAATTGCTAATACTAGTATAATGTATTGGTTTAGTTGTTTATATAAAAAAAAAAAAATGAAATTTCATATTTCCCACTGCTACCATCAGTAAGGTGACCAACTCGTTAACATTTACAAGTTCCGATTATACACCCTACTTTTTTGAAAGTCAAGTGTGTGGTCTATACCAATGGGGATAATCTCTAAACTCTCAGTATTCTGTGCAACACATATAAGTTGAGCTCAGTTAGAGGGTTGTTGCCAATAATTACAATTAAATATTGATTAGACAGAAATTATATTTTTTCGATGGTAAATAGTGTTGATTGAATGTCTAGGGAACCGGTATCGGCTGTAACAGATTTGACAAGTAAGTTAGGCAACTGGTGCCTAAGCACAAACATTTTCAAATCGTATGTAAAGCTAAACATTTTTTTTTGGAAAGGGTTAAAAGCCACGTCGGTTTATTTATTTAGGAAGTGAGAGGAGATATCTACAAAGTGAGGGAATTCCACCCTTAGTCGTCACCAATTTTCCATCACTTTCTATCTTGGTGAAATGGTCACAGCACAGAGAGTGTGAATCTACCTAGCAAGGATATAGACTCCATCCATAAAAACGTAGCCGGAGACCAGTAAGGGTGCCCATGCTGACCCATGTCTACAACCAAAAGTGCCTACAACTGGCATGTGAGTATCAGAACTGGACCTAAAGAGCAATGGAAGGTGGCTTGGTCTGATGAATTCAAAAATGGAAGGAACACAACAAGCTAAAAGTATTGGCTTTGCCTCCAAATTCTCCAGATCCCAATCCAATTGAGCATCTGTGGGATGTGCTGGAAAAACAAGTCCAATCCATGAAGGCCCCATCTTGCAACTTAAAAGGAATTAAAGGATCTCTTACTGATGGCTTGCTGCCAGTTTCCACATCATACTTTGGATGCTTTCAGAGGTCTTGCGGAGTCCATGCATAATATACACTTTATTGCCAAAAGTATTGGGACGCCTGCCTTTACATGCACATGAACTTTAATGGCATCCCAGTCTAAGTCCGTAGGGTTCAATGTTGAGCTGGCCCACCCTTTGCAGCTATAACAGCTTCAACTCTTTTGGGAAAGCCTGGCTTGCAGTCTCTGCTCTAATTCATACCAAAGGTGTTCTATTGGGTTGAGTCAAGTTCCTCCACCCCAAACTCACTCAACTATGTCTTTATGGACCTTGCTTTGTGCACTGGTACGCAGTCATGTTGGAACAGGAAGGAGCCATCCCCAAACTGTTCCCACAAAGTTGGGAGCATGAAATTGTCCAAAATGTCTTGATATGCTGATGCCTTAAGAGTTCCCTTCACTGGAACTAAGGGGCCAAGCCCAACCCCTGAAAAACAACTCCACACCATAATCCCCCCTTCACCAATCTTTACACTTGGCACAATGCAATCAGGCAAGTAAAGTTCTCCTGGCAACTGCCAAACCCAGACATGTCCATTGGATTGCCAGACATAGAAGTGTGATTCGTTACTCCAGAGAACATGTCTCCACTGCTCCCTCCTAGATTGTAAGCTCGTAAGAGTAGGGCCCTCTTACCCCTCGTACGCTGTCTGTCTTTGTTGTACTGTGCCATGTATTGTCCCCCCCCCCTATTGTACAGCGCTGAGCAAACCCTTTGGCGCTATATAAACTCGTAGTAATAAAGTATAATAATAATAATAGTCCAGTGGTGGAATCCTTTACACCACTGCATCCGACGCTTTACATTGCACTCAGTGATGTAAGGCTTGGATGCAGCTGCTCGGCCATGTAAACCCAACCATGAAGCTCTCAAAGCACTGTTGTTGTACTAATCTGAAGGCGACACAAAGTTTGGAGGTCTTTAGCTATTGACTCTGCAGACGACTTCTGAGCACTGTGTGCTTCAGCATGCGTTCACCCTGCTCTGTCATTTTACGTGCCCAACCAATTTGTGACTGAGTTGGTGTTGTTCCCAGTTGCTTCCACTTTGTTATAATACCACTAACAGTTGACTGTGGAATATTTAGTAGTAAGGAAATTTCTTGGATGGACTTATTGCACAGGTGGCAACCTATCAGGGCACCACACTTGAATTCACTGAGCTCCTGAGAGAGACCCATTTTTTCACAAATGTTTGTAGAAGCAGTCTGCATGCCTATGTGATTGTTTTTTACAACTGCGGCCATGGAGGTGACTGGAACACCTGAATCCAGTGATATGGAGGAGTGTCCCAATACAATATAGTGTGTGTGTGTGTATATATATATATATATATATATATATATATATTACTTGACCTAATGGTCATACAGTTGAGTGTCAAAACAGAGTCTCTGATGAGAATCTAGCAATCAGTGTAGGTAAATCAATCGTATTTGGTCAAATGGTTCAATGTGCATTCAATTTTCTTCATGCAAATTCTCCTTTAATGAACACATAACTGAATTCAATTTTATAATCTACCATCTCCTTTAAAGATGACCTCTGGTCAGTTTTAAAAAAAAAACTTTTGCATGTTCCCATTTTAACTTTCCCTCTGTACTGTCTTTATTCCTTACTCCTGCAGTCTACTTTTCTCATTGGTTCCATTATGGATGAATGATTTCTTGAAGCTGTTGCCAATTGTTTTGCATTCCTGCATCACATGTAAAGACGTTGAGGGTCTGGTCTTTTCCTGGAGATGTCAGGGAAGTATGGAATAAGGTAAGTATTCCTCTCTGCTATATAATTCCTAGACTAAATATGCATTAGATCCTTACTGTACAGGGGGAAGGGGGGGCATCCAAATGTTCTTTTTTTTTTTTTCTTAAATACTGGCTTTAAAACAAAAACATTCTCTCCACAGGGGCTTGTGATGGAGAACAATGTATATTCCAGTATGATTATCTGCACAGGTGTGTCAGTAGCTGGTTTGGCTGCAAAACCAGCTGCTGATGAGACTTGTGCAGATAATCAAACTAGAGGAAATACCATTAAAGGTTCTGTTAAAGCAGAACTAGGTTCTGCTGTGACATACTGTGTGCAGACAGACTTTTTGTTGCTGAAGACACATGCAATGTCTCTTCTGTAATAAATTACACTTACCTGCTTGCTCACAGCAATCCCTGGAATGTAAACTGAGCTGCACATGTGCAGCTCAGCTTACAGCGACTGGCCTAGTCCCTGTGTGCTGTGCATATGCATGGGTTATGTCATCCCATGCCAGTCAATGAGGATGCACACAGGACAAGATGCTGGTGAGGGACAGGGGCTTGGAAAGCTGAGTATCCCTTTAGATTTGCTTTAATTTCTAGTCCACACACCCTGAGTTATTCATCCTGAGGTCATCACAGAGGACATGGGGGCACTCTTTACATCTGGAGGAAAAGAAATGTAATCTCCAAACACGGAAAGGTGTCTTCACAGTGAGAGCTGCGAAAATGTGGAATAGACTCCCTCAAGAGTTGGTTCTGGCCAGCTCCGTGGATTGCTTTAAAAAAGGCCTGGATTCTTTCCTAGATACACAGAATATAACTGGTTACTAACATTTATAGGTAAAGTTGATCCAGGGAATATCCGATTGCCTCTCGGGGGATCAAGAAGGAATTTTTTTTTTCCCTGCAACAGCAAATTGGGTCTTGCTTTGCTGGGGTTTTTTGCCTTCTTCTGGATCAACTGTGGGTATAGGATTATAACTTTTTTAGTGGTTGAACTGGATGAACTTTTGTCTTTTTTCTGCCAGACTAACTTTTTAACTATGTAACATACGCTGTTTTATATATCAAGTACTGACGAAGGGGCATTTTTGAACCACTGAAATGCATTTTCTACTTTCAATGTTCCCTAACCCTTACTGGAACAAAGTCATATATTGATCTTTCAGCAGTGGTGTGGCACTTCAAATCACATTTTTGTTACATCACATTGCAAGCCAAGTAAGCTGTGGAGATCCTTAGGGGTGTAGAATCTGCCTGCCTGGGAGCGTGATCACTTACAGTGGGGAAAATAATTATTTGATCCCCTGCAGAAGAAATGAAGGGGATAGAAACAGAATGTCAACCAATAATCCAGAGAAAAACATGATACAAATGTTATAAATTGAGTTGCAATTCAGTGAGTAAAATAAATATTTGATCCCCAAGCATAATATGACTTAGTACTTGATGGAGAAACCATTGTTGGCAAGCACAGAGGAAAGAAGTTTCTATAGTTGGTTACCAGGTTTGCACACATCTCAGGAGGAATTTTGGTCCACTCTTCTTTACAGAACTTCTCTAATTCCTTAAGTTTTCATGCTGTCGCTTGGCAACTTGAAGTTCAGTGGGGAAGAAGGTTCTCATCCAAGATTTTACAATACATGGCCCTGTCCATTTGCCCCTCAATGCGGCAAAATCGGCCTGTGCTTTTAGCAGAAAAACAACCCCAAAGCATAATGTTTCCACCTCCATGCTTGACTATAGGGATGGTGTTCTTAGGGTCATAACCAGCTTTTTTTTCCTCCAAATACAGCGAGTCAAGTTAATGCCAAAGAGCTCAATTTTGGTCTCATCTGACCACAGCACTTTCTCCCAATAATTCTCTGAATCATTTAGATGTTCATTGGCAAACTTCAGATGGGCCTGTTCATGTGCCTTCAAGAAAGAGACCTTGCGGCCTCTGCAGGATTTCAATTCATGGCAGCGTATTGTGTTACAAATAGTTTGTTTGGTGACTGTGGTCACAACTGCCTTGAGATCATTCACAAGCTCCTCCCATGTAGTTCTGGGCTGATCCCTCACTTTTCTCAAGATCATCCTTACCCCATGAGGCAAAATCTTGCATGGAGCTCCAGATCGAGGGTGGTGATTGATGGTTCTTTTGTATTTCTTCCACTTGCAAATAATTGCTCCAACAGTTGTCTCCTTCTCACCAAACTTCATGCTGATGATCTTGTAGCCCATTCTAGCCTTGTGCAGGTCTACAATCTTGTCCCTGACGCCATTTGACAGCTCTTTAGTCTTGCCCATGGTGGTACCCAAGAAAGAGATTCTGTGGACAGGTGTCTTTTATACACATAACAAGTTGTCATTAGGAGCACCTTCTTAAATCTTACAGGACTAATCTGTGTACCACATGAGCACATAGCAAGTCTGCAGGAGTCAGAATGATTGTTGGTTGGTAGGGGATCAAATACTTATTTTACTCACTGAACTGCAACTCAATTTATAACATTTGTATCATGTGTTTTTTTCTGGATTTTTGGTTGATATTCTGTCTCTATCATTTAAAATACACCTATGATAAAAATTATAGACCCTTCATTTCTTTGTAAGTGGGCAAACTTACAAAATCTGCAGGGGATCAAATAATTATTTTCCCCACTGTATATCAACATCATTACATTAAGATAGGATAGCAATACCAATACCAATCACGGGTCCTGCACTATTTTTCCATTTTACATACCAGGGGTTACACAAAATTATGGAAACACCAGGTAAAGGAGCAAAATCATTACCTAATATGGTGTTGGACTGCCTTTGGCATCCAAGACAGCCTGAATTCTCCTGAAAATTGACAAATATAAGTCTTGGATTGTAGATAATGGAAGCTGACACCACTCTTTATGCAAAATTGTTCCAGTTCTTGCAGAGATGCAGCAAGTGGAAAACGGGCCTGAACCTTGTTCTCCAAAATTTACCATAGTGGCTCTATGATACTGAGGTCTGGCAACTGCTATGCCCAGGGAAGGTGCTAGACTTAATTTGTATGCTGGTCAAACCACAATTTTACAACACCAGCTGTGTGAGTCAGAGCATTATTGTCTTGGTAAATTACGCTGTCTTCCGGAAACAATGGCTGCACCATGGGGTGCACATGGTTGGCCAAAATTTGTACATACTTGCTAGCAGTGACTCTACCTTTCAAGGTGATGATGGGGCCTGCAGAATACCAAGATGTGGCTACCCAAACCATGATTGCGTGCCCACCATGCTTTACCGTTGGCACAAGACAGTCCTGATCGTAAGCTTAGAACAGTGTTTGCCACAAGAGTGGTTGGGAACAGTGTGAAGCTCGATTCATCGGACTATATTACAGTCTTCCACTGATTGATAGTGCAAGATTTATGGGTGTTGCACCACTCTCTCCTCTTCGGAGCATTAATATCGGTCACTAGTGGTTTGGCAATTGCAGCTGTGAATGTTTTACTTATGGAGTTCCATAAGCACAGTTTTTGTGGACACAGGCTTTGGAAGACTGAGACTGAGCTCCGCAGTCACTTTTTCAGCAGCTGTTTTCTTATACTGGGTCAGAATCCTGAGCAATGTCTTTTTGTCTCTTTTGATCAGTTGACCATGTTATGCTTATCAGACGTTACCTCGCAAATACGAAAAATAGATTTGCATCTTCAGTCACAGAGGCACCAGCTAAACGGGCACCAACAGTCTGCCCTCTTTGAAACTCAGTAAACTCTGACATGACTACATAGTACTAGCAGTGCACGCAGTGAATTACCAAGGTGAGGCTTCCAACCTGTTAGCTAGATGTCTCATCACATAGCGGAAGCAAAAGAATGTTACATCACGTCAGCTTTCATGTTGAAACATGTTGTCACTTTCACACCTGCAAATCATGTAGTGTTTCCATATTTTTGTCCAACCCCTGTAATTCAGCTTAAGGCCTGGTTCGCATCTATGTTTTTTTTTTTTGTGTTTTTTGCAGAACCGCACTACAGTCCATTTAACACAGTTTCCTATGGGAAATGTTCAACTCTGTGCTTTTTTGGAAAATGGCCAGGGACTTTTTTAAATGCAAAATGGTGCATTTTTGGTTCAAGAGTGTTCAATGGAGACGCTGCATAAAAGAATGTAGTGCATTTTTTGGCATGTTTTTGATGCATTTTTTATGCGTTTTGTAATCTGCACAACAATAACATATTAGCTCCCAAAAAAGCATAAAAAATGCAATCTGCATCAGAAACACGTGAAAAACACGTGTGCAAAATGCAATGGAAAAGGCACTGCAGAAATGGATCAAAAGCAAACTGCAGTGTGAACCAGGCCTTAAGCAGTCTTTTAGCAGTCCTATAATGTACGTGGGGGTACTCAGGACCCACCCATATTCTGGGCTGTAGTGGAACAGTGAATAGCATCAGCTGTCAGGCAAAGAGGAATAAAGTAAGAATTTCTTTGTT